TTCATTTTTTTATTATTATTTTTTGTATTAAATTCTTTTATTGGTACATTGTAGGTATACAACACAATTACATTTCTCATTGGGAATTGTACCTTTATATAATGCATCTTGGTTCTTATTTTTTCCCCATTCCTAGCCCTCCCTTCACGCCCTCCACGCTTCCCTATTTACATAGACTTTATTTCCATTTTTTCCATTTCTCATCATTTTTTCCTTTCCCTTATTTTTGTTTTTGTTTTTAAACAGGGTCTTTCTATGTAGCCCAGGCTGGCCTTGAACTCTCAGGAATCTTCCTGTCTCAGCCTCCCAACTGCTGGGATTACAGGTGTACACCACCATGCTCAGTCCTACTCCATTTTCAGATTTTGTAGTTTGGAAGAGGCTCATTCTAGGCATGAAACACATGCATACCCAAACCTGAGTCAGCACATAACATTCCCTAAACTACAGTGACTGTCTCAGGGGTAGATATGTAATTCAATCAGCCACAAAAAAGCACAGGAATTTTCTTCTTGCTTCTGTGAACATTTTGCTTCTTTTATTCTTTCCCATTATACTTGAATGTGAGAAGATACAATATCTGGAGCTGCTACAGCTATGTTGATACCACAAGGGGAGAGCAAATTAAAAGAAAAATGTCATTTATATTTGTATTTTTATTTATATCTCATTTAAAATTTTTATTTTGTAGTACTTGGGATTGAATCCAAGGCTTTACACTGAGCTACATACTCAGCCTTTTTTCATTTTTTATTTTGAAACAGGATCTCATTAGTCACTAAGTTGCCCAGGCTGGCCTCAAATTTGTGATCCTCCTGCTTCAGCCTCCCAGAGTACTGGGATTACAGGTATGAACTTCCATGCCAGCTAGATGTCATTTATTCACTTCCCTGAACAAAAATCTATTGTGCATCTACAGGATCACAGATACTATTCTAGATTCATATGTGAATAATATGATATAGACTTTAATATGGCAATGAACAATACATACAGACCCTGAAGTCCAGGGGGTGTGGTTCAGTGATAAAATACTTGCTAGCATGTGTGAAGCACTGGGTTCCATCCCCCATACTTAATAAAGAAAAAAAAAGTAAATATGTGATAGTGGTATATTCCTGTAATCCCAGCACTCCACCAGGAGGATGACAAGTTCAAGCCCACCTTGGGTAACTCAAGGATTTAAGGATACCCTGTCTCAACATTAAAAAGGGCTAGGCTGGGCCAGGGATTTAGCTCAGTGGTTTCGCCGCCTGCTGCACAAGTGCAAGGACCCGAGTTCGATCCCCAGTACCAAATAAATAAATAAATAAAATAAAAATAAAAATAGGGACCGGGGATTTAGCTCAGTGGTTTCGCCACCTGCTGTGCAAGCGCAAGGACCCAAGTTCAATCCCCGGTACCGAAAAAAAAAAAAAAATCAAATCAAATAAAGTATATTATCATCTAATAAATTTCAATGTGCTGGGGCCAGGGATTTAGCTCAGTGGCTTGGCCATCTGCTGTGCAAGCACAAGAACCCGAGTTCAATCCCTGGTACCAAAAAAAAAAATTTCAATGTGCACTGGTAAACTTCATGAGTACAATACTAATATTTCAAAAAGAAAGGGCTGGAGATGTAGCTCAGTATGAAGGTCCTTGTTTAATCTGAAGTACCTAAATAAATAAATAAATAGTAAATAACACCCCCCCCCTCAAAAAAACCCTATCGTTATAGAATTTACAGTCCAGTAAGGAACACACAATAACAACATCGAACAATGATATGTCATTTACTATGTATTAATTCTTGAGATTCTATGAGAGTACTATCATTATCCTTATTTTATAGGTGGGTAAACTGAAGTAGAGACAAGTTACTTGGTCTCACAATAAATAATAAGAATCAAGTCCAAGATTTCTGCTTTTACAGTCTGTGTGTTCAGCTGGGCGTTGTGGTGCACCCCTATAATCCCAGTACTCTGAGAGGCAGGAAGACTGAAAGTTCAACCCCATCCTGGGCAATTTAGTAAGTAGCAAGGCTCTATCTCAAAAATTAAAAAGGGTTTAGGGCCAAGGATGTAGCTCAGCAGCACCACGCCTGCCTGGCAAGCCCAACCAAGGTCCTGAGTTTGATTCCTGGTACTGGAAAAAAAATTTTTTTTAAGGGTTGAGGATATAGCTCAACGTGAAGGCCCTGGTTTCAATTCCTGATGCTGATGAAAACCAAAAAAACCCAAATCCCTTCTGATTCTCCTTAAATCTTTGGAGCCTATCTGCTTCTCTTCATTATCCTCAATGCACTATGTTAGTGAGAAAAATAATTGACACCTAGTTGGAAAAGGACTTGGGGCCAGGAAAGATTTTTTTTTTTGCATTTACTTATTTATTTAGCCATATGGAGGATTGAACCCAGAGACTTGCACATCCTAGGTAAGCACCTTACCACTTAGCTACATCTCCACCAGTTTTTAATTTTATTTATTTATTTTGTGGTACTGGCAATTGAACCCAGGGCCTTCCCACTGAGCTACATCCCCAACTGTGTGTGTGTGTGTGTGTGTGTGTGTGTGTGTGTGTGTGTGGCAAGGTCTCACCACATTGCTAAGTTGCCCAGGCTGGGTTTGAACTTGCAACTTGCAGTCCTCCTACCTCACCTTCCCAGAGTGCTGGGATTGCAGTGTATTTTGATGATTTTATATTTATGTTATTAAGCTCTTCATCTACTTATCACTTATCCTGAAAATTTCCCTTCATCCTAATTGCAGTTGTAATGACACTTCACCTAACTGTCCATAACAGAAGATCCATATTTTTCTGGCTATCTCCTATATTTAGTAGCATCTTGTACTCTGGGCACCCATATGCCCAAAGAACATCCAGAATACTATGTTCCAAAAAGGCTGTTTCTTCCACTAAGAGAGCAGGCGGCTTGAAAGCTGGAGCCTGGAGCCATTTGCAAACCATTAGTACATTTGGTTTCCTAGACTCTCAATTCTGTGTCATTCAGTTTCTGTGGACACTAATGCTCTATTCCTACAACAGCAGCGTGGCCAGTTGGTTTTTTTCCACCTCCAAAATTCTCTCCTCTTTGTCCTATATCATCAATTTTTTTCCTGTCTGAGTCATTGCCATGAGCAAACAAAAATGTTCTGTCTTTTTTGTGAGCTGGGGAATTGAGAAAGTGGCTATTTAGACCAGGCTGGCCCTTAATTTGCTATGTAGCCTAGGATGGTCTTGAAAACTCACAATTCTGTTTCAGTCTCCCAAGTGCTGAGATGAAAAAAATTTTTTATTTTGTGTGGGGGTTTTTTTTGGTACCAGGGATCGAACTCGGGACCTTGTGCTTTCGAGGCAGGCACTGGAACCACTGAGCTAAATCCCCGGCCCAAAATTTTTATTTTTTGGAGACAAGTTCTTGCTATGTAGTTCAGGCTAGCCTTGAACTCACTATGCAGCCCAGGATGGCCTCAAACCTGCCTCAGCCTCCAGAGTGCTGGGATTACAGAGATGCACCACCACACCCAGCCAAAATGTTCTATCTTTAAAAGAGAAAAAAATTTCTCCCTTAATCCCACAAACCTCTCCTGTGCTTCCCTCCCCCGCAATTTTTTACAGTACTAGCGATTGAATCCAGGGACTTCCAGACAAGCACTCTACCTCTGAATTACATCTCCAGCCCTTCTTTAAGATGTCCAGACTGGCTTTGAACTTGTGATCCTCCTACCTCAGCTTCCTGGGTAGCTAAGATTACAGGGATGGCCATGATATTTAGGCCTTCATACAAACCACTGTACTGAAACTTCCTGTCAAGACACTAACGTCTCCTACACAAGCCATTCAGGATCCACAGCAAATTGAAGGCCAGACTGGGATGCAAGTCTCATGATGGACCATTTGGTCGATTTTGTTTACTGATGCAAACCCAACAACCTAGGCAGGGCTTGCACATAGTAGGTGCTTAATAAATTCTTATCCTCCCAATCCCCACAAAACTTCTCTTTCTCAGTTTCAACTGTTTGACAGGTTTCAAAGGAAGAAGAGACTTTAAGGCTACAAAAGCCAAGGTAAACCAGTTAGAATGGTCTGGCAGATCCTATGTGGCTAAGCAAAGCAGCTTCTCCATTTGTAAACTCTCGTTTTTCTCCAGAAACGGATGGCCTCAGAGAGAAGATAGTCGCTGGTATTTACACGGGCGAGAAATCCGTATAAAAGGCTCGGCCGGAATGCCCACCGAGAGATCATTCCTCACATGGGGCCATTCCTCACCTTTGCACACAACAAAGGTACAGGCTACAGGAGGCCGCAGCTGACCCTAGGCCGAGCTAAAGCTAGACTGGGAAAGAATTCTGCAGGCCTGAGAATGGAAAACAAAAACAAAAACACCCTGGGCCGGGGATTTATCTCAGTGGTTTCGCCACCTGCTGCGCAAGCGCAAGGACCCGAGTTCGATCCCTGGTACCAAAAAAAAAAAAAAAAAAACCAACCAAACAAAAACACCCTTACGGGGAGAGGAGGTACAGTTTCCGTTCTCACGCCTATGCCCTTCTCTCCCTGGAAAGAAGGATTTCTCTCGCCGGGTAAACCCAGGCGCTAGGATGACAAGTTCTGCAGTTTGGGCTCCTGGGAAATGTAGTCCTTCAGGAGACAGCGCTAGAAAGACTTTTTTTCTTTTTTTTGGTACCGGGGATTGAACTTGGGTCCTTGAGCTTGCGCAGCAGGCGGCGAAACCACTGAGCTAAATCTCCGGCCCATAGAAAGACTTTTTACAAAACTTTGAAGAAGAAAATACGATGTTTCTGGGAGTCCCAAACGATCGTCATACTAACTCAGATTTTAAATACTACACGTTTCCCTTTCCTCAGCCTCCATGAGTCTCTCGAGCTGTTCGTCTCCCTATCCAACTCCGACATTCTGGATATCTCTGTTCTGTTTGGGCCGATCTAGCTCTCTTCTACTCGCTCGTTTGTCCTCCACTCTGTCCAATCATAGGTGCACTCCCAGAGTGCCTTGGGGCTGTAATGGCTGCTCCTACCTGGTATGGGGCTGGGCTCCTTCGGTCTGTGTTAGGGGTCTGGCACCTGGGCCCTCAAGCTTCGAGGGAATGGAAGGCCCCTCTCCGTTCACTCTTAGGCTGTCAAAAGAGGTTCGTGTCCTGTGTGGTAGGCACCTCTTTTTCTGGTCCCCGCCTGGCCTCGGCCTCTCGGAATTACGGCCAGGGTTCAGCCCTGGACTGCTTACTTGGATTCCCTCAGGCCAACAGCTCGCCGACTTCTTGCGTCCCTGCCGTGTCCATGTACAGAGGTAAAGAGCTCCAGTAGGTTTTTCCGGGACTGGTTTTGGCGCTGAAAGACCCCTGTCAGGGAAACTCAGACTCTGGTGACACTTTGACCCAGTTTTATAGAAAATGAAATTTGAGAGCGGGCGTGGTGGTGCACTCCTGTAATCCCAGCACTTGGGAGGCTGAGACAAGAGGATCGCCACAGTTCTTTTTGTTAGTTTGTTTTTGTTTTTTGAGACAGGATCTTGCAATGTAGTACAGGCTGGCTTTGAAGTCACCATATAGCCTAAGCTGGCCTTGAACTCGTGGCAATCCTCCTGCCTCAGCCTCCCGAGTGGAGTGTTGGGATTACAGACTTGCGCTACCATGCCGGGTATTGCTGCGAGGCCACCCTGAGCTACATGGCGAGACTCTGTTTCAAATAATAATAATAATAATTTTATCTGAGACCCTTAAAGAGACCAGAAGTGAAGATTCTAAGAGCTTGAGGAGCCAGAATCATCTGATCACAACTAGAGACACGAAAGAGTGCGAAGCAAGACTGTTGCTGCTCTCTGTCCCTTTCTGACAAGCAGACTTTATCCAATAAATGCATGTCGAGACTCTGTGCTACACCTGGGAAATAGCACACTTCTTCAAGTAGCATAGACTAGAGTCTGATAGGGAGACTGGACACATTAAACTGTGTACTCAATATGGTGTCATAAGGAAAGACTAAGAAAGTTTGCAGACTTCACAGTATTGTTAGTAGACTGAGATGGAGTTGGAAAATTTTCTGGCTTTATTTAGTCCTGCCATACTGTGATTTATGTTTGTTTTTTATTATGGTCTGTATGTTACCCAGGTTAGTCTTGAACAGCTGGGCTCAACTTGTCTCAGACTCCTGAGTAGCTAGGATTATAGGAGTGCCACAATGTACCTGGCTAGTCTGGCTGTGCTTTATCAAATGTGTGTACATTTCCCAGGCACAAGTAAACAGAACAATTCTTTGTAGTATTTGAGAATCCATTAACTGCTAACCATCCTGTGTGGTTTTATGCAGTTGTCAGTTGTCAAAAGAAAGTTGTAAGTAGGTCAACTCCATTTTTATTTTTTTCAGATGAAGTCTTGCTGTGTAGTTCAGGTGGGCCTTGAACTCGGTAGCCTAGGCTGGCCTCAAGCTTGTGATGATCCTCCTGCATGTTGGGATTCCAAAGCATGTACCACCACACTGGACATCAACCCCTTTTTTTTTTTTTGGTACTGGGGATTGAACTTGGGTCCTTGCACCTCCACAGCAGTGAAACCACTGAGCTAAATCCCCGACCCATCAACTCCATTTTGCATGTGAGAAAACTGAAGGGCTTGAGAACCTAGAAAATATGATAAAATCACGTAAATTAAAGGCTAAACCAATCTCCAAGTCAAGTTTAGGTGGCTTCATCATAGCACACTAACTTTGTATCTTTATTTCCTTAAGGGCAGTAGGACTAACCATCTGACAGTCTAGATTCCACTGTGTCTCACTCTTCCCACCCAAACACAGATGAGCAAGATCTCCTATTGGTCCGTCCCCCTGACATGGCTGAGAATCCCCGGGTCCTACACGTGGTCCTCCTAGGAGCCCCAAATGCAGGGAAATCAACACTCTCCAACCAGCTGCTGGGCCGGAAAGTATGTTGCCCTTTGACACTCCCCCACCCCTGGCCCGTACCCCCCCCCATACCCTTTTAATCTTTTAATCTCTCATTTCTTTTTATTTTTTTTTAATCTCTCATTTCTTGCTTTGCCTTTATGAATGGTTCTGGAGAGATCTGAGATTTCACTTGGACTTCTTTGTTCTTGGCAGGTGTTCCCTGTCTCCAAGAAGGTACACACCACGCGCTGCCAAGCTCTAGGGGTCATCACAGAGAAGGAGACCCAGCTGGTAGGTACCTGCAAAGGAAGTTCTGCAAACAAGATGAGAGTGAAATTAAGCAAGTCTCTTTTATCATTAGTAGTGAAGATAGTGAGGCAGATTAGCTTTTCTGAGGGAAGGCTCAAATCTGTTCCTTGAGGCCCAATGCTGCTCTAGCTCTGCCTTCCTCCCTTTGCTATCTAGTCTGAAGGTGTCATTCTGTCTTTACTGCTTGCTAATCTTTGATTCATTCATAGTCATCTGCCTCTAGAATTACATCTAGAATTAAAACAATGCTGAAAGGTAAAAATTTAAAGTCAGCAACAGCTTGGCCAAGAAGGGAGGGCAGAGAAGTACAATAAGAGATTCCTGTAATCCCAGCACTAAGGGAAGCTGAGGCAAGAGAATCACAAATTTGAGTCCTACCAGGCATGGTGACACATGCCTGTAATCTCAGTGCTCAGGAGGCTAAGGCAGGAGGATTGCCAAGAGTTTAAGGCCAGCCTGGGCTACATAGTGAGTTCAAG